CCAACAGTCCCAGCGATCCTTCTGACTTCCACCCACTCAAGCTGGGATTACAACATGCGGTGGCTACCAGATTGTTTCATGGATGCTGAGACGTGAACTCCAGTCCGTGTGGCTGCATCATTGAGCCATCTTGCCAGACCAAAGTATGGTTTTTCCTTTTTCTCTTCTCCCTGGATCTACTCTCCCTTTCTTTGATAACATGATTTAGACTTATCAGTAATACCCATAAGCATCTGGATGTTTGGTCAACATAGTAATTGGTGGATCTGACGCCCGATTACTCTACCTGGCCCGCTCCATTCTAAAACGTCCATCTAACTGCACTGGATGCTTGCTGAGTATGAAAAGGTTACGACCACAAAAGGAGACATTTAAATTCAAGTTAGACTGTTTTGAGACAGTAGTCTTGAGGCAAGCTTTGCTGGGACAAGTCTTCCAGGGTCATAGCAAGATACTGATACCTGAGCCAGTCTTCTGCTCCTAGGACAATAGACGTGGGGCAACAGGAAATAGGTTCAGATTATGAAATTCTAGGAAGAAGAGCCTGGGCTCAACCCAGGTGATAGGGGCTGGGAATCTGGGACCATGACTAGAACTCTAGAGAAGCTGAGGGCCAGTCAAAGAACACCTGGTCACCTTCTGCAGCATCCAACATTGTTACATAAGTGACTGTGGAGTCTCCTCTTTTCGAGACTTAAACGTGGCCTGTGTGACCCGTTTCCACCATCCCAGTTTGCTGAGAGGTACACCCATCCCTGCTTCTTCCTGTGAGCAATGGATACCACTTGGCTTTAGAAGCTCATGTCAAAGCCAAGAAGATGCCGAGGATAAAGGCTTCCGCCCAGGCCACACCCACAGGTGCTACCACAGGAAGCCCCATGCCTCCCTAGCCTGGATCTGTGAAAGCACCTCTGTGAATCCAGACACAGTGGATTTGGAGTTTCAATGGGAACACTCCTGGAGAGGTCAGGACTGGGAGAAGCATTCACTGTTTGATGTCTATGTTGTCCTACACAGAGTAACTCCAAGACTGCCTCCTTATTTGGTGTCGTTTGAAGATGTGCTGCTGTAAAAATGCTTTAAACAGACAAAGTAGGTGGGAGTCTGAGATGAAACAAGAGCCGGTGGGCTTGGGATGATGTTGGTAAAGCTGGTGATGGGCATAGGACTTGCTGCTGCTCACTCCTTTTGTGTCTGTGTTCACAGCTCTTATTTCAAGCCTTTTCCAACAGCACTGTTAGGATGTGACGAGGTCCACGAGCAAAGGCTCAGCACTGCTCTCTGCATTCGCTGGACACTCCTGAGGTTTCTGTACTTACAATCGCACTTTGAAGTTTTCGTGGGCCAAATCCAACATTTTGACCCACAATTTTTTCTGACCTTTTGCTAAATGTGGGTCATGCTTTCTTCTTTACATTTCTCATGGTTTCTGGTTGAAAACTGGACAATTTTGGTTATACTGTAGCAACTACTGATTCGTGTGTGTGTGTGTGTGTGTGTGTGTGTGTGTGTGTGTGTGTGTGTGTAATTTCATCTAGCTTGACTAAACAATTTAACTTGGGCAGTTTGTCTTACCACAGGAAAGCATAGCTGCTCCTCCTGCTCAGTTTTACATTGTTTGAATTTCTAGTCTGACTTCCCAGGGTTAATCCTGCCGAGTAGTCAGCCATGTTTGTTCTTGCTCAACCTGCAGTCCCTGCAGTTTCCACACGTAGTGGAGGGCTCTGTGTGCAAGTGGAGCAACCCATCAGGTCCACACCATGTTGGCCCAGATCTCCTGCCCCCCACTCCCAGTCAGGCTGTGTCTGTCCCCTGAACCTGGTGGATTCCCCCTACCCAAGATCGCATTACCCCAGACTAGCTACAACTCTCCCTGGCAGGGCTGCAGTGGATTCCAGCTGGCCCACCACCCATCTCCTGCCTTCATTCCCAGCCCTGAGCCCATACCATTCTGAAAGCAGCTGCTTTTCATGACCTGCTCAGAGTTTGGGAGAGAGGAGCCCAAGACAAGAAGAAAGGTCCTAGATTCCAAGAGTTCTTACACAAAGTGCAAGCAGCTTTTCAGAAACTGTTTTCAGCTTCTTGATTGCCCTTATAAACTTTGCGACTGTCAATTCCCAGAGCCCTCAAGTGGTTGCCTTTTTGACAAGTCAGTTTGCTTTCTGTAGGAAGGACTGGTTCATCTCTTCACTATGGGCCATCCAGACCCCCCTAATGGGTCCTGGTATTTCACACACACTGAAGATTGACAGCAGGGTAAATCTCAGCAAGTAAATCTGATGTCCAAGGTAGGAAAGAGACTGGGTATGGTGACCCAGGCTTGTGACCCCAGCACTGTGGAGGCATGAACAGGAGGATCTAGCAAGATCCTGTTTCATAAACACCACAACAGGCTGCTGCCTCCCTGGTTAGGAGTGCTGAGCACTCTTCCAGGGGACTCCAGCTCAGTTCCCAGCACACAGAGGAATAAAAGTAAATCTTCAAAAACAAAAGTTTAGAAAATGATCAAACAAATAACAAGAACAAAGAGAACAAGAGGCAGACGGACTTGGAAAGAGGGAAGTCTTCCTTTCCTAAGTAGCAGTTCTGTGAAGAGCTGACTCAACAGCCTTACTACTTTTCCAACCCAGGTGCCAACTACCAAGGACCATCCCGAGCAGAAGACACAGCTGAACAAATGTATCCAAGACTCCTTTGGCAGCAAGTTTATGAGGTGTGGAAATGCTTTGAGGAGAAAAACAAACTTCGTAATGATTTTTTTTTTCAAAATTTCAAAAGACCAAACACCTCGTGTAAGTTTTACAACATAAATGAACTTGTTCATTTAGAATTTTACAAAGCAGTGAGCTGGCTCAGGAAGGAGGTGACTCCTGTCACCCTGACCCTTGAGTTTGATCCTTGGAACCCACATGATGAAAAAGAGCTTCCACAGGCCGCCCTGATGTTCACACACATGCACCCCACCCACCCACCCCACCCAAAACTGTAATAAAAAGTTTCTAATTTTATCCTGACAGTCCCTTTTATTTGAGAAAATACCTGAAAACAGTCTTGGCTAAGAGGCTCACAGATGATGTCACAGTTCCTTCTACCCAAACAGGCCGCACAGGAAACACAAGGCAAATTTATACCGCTTTGTTTCTTGCTCTTTCAAAGAAATGACATCACCCTTCACCAGCTGTAGGGGACTGTGCCTTCTGGAAGTGGGTACAGTTAAGGACACACACACTGTCACTGTGGCTCAAGGGTAGAGACTGGCCCTGCACTGTGAGAGAACTCACATACCTCCAACATCTGCACGTCTTGTATTCCAAAGTGACAACAAAAAAATGTACCTTGGATTTTTAAGGGCTTTCTGGGCTATCTAGAAACAAATTTAACAAACTATGAAATTCAGCCAAATACTTCAAATCACTGAGATTTAACTAAGGGCCAGAAATAGTGAACTGAAGTTAAAGGTTGTTGAAGCCGAAAAAGAATGTGTAAAAAGACAGCTGAAAAGTCTCAGTTAGGCATCATTACAGGGCAAACTGCTGATATCCTAACCCCGGCAGGTCTAAAAGGAAGACTCCATGTTAGGAGCCAACTAAGAGTTCAAAGGTTTGCCTTAAGTGATCTAAGTACCATTTTTAAACTGCCACTTATCTCCAAGATAAATATGGTTGCAATTATAAAAGATTATTAATTTATAGAGTTTTGACAACGTGCTTAAAACCCTCAGTTACATCTCTATTCACATGACCGGAGTCAAGGGCAGGAAGACAAGGTTCAGTTGCTAACACTCTGTACTCCACTAGAACTGGTCAGGGTGAGAACCACTGTCTGTGGATAGTTAATGTACTAGTTTGCTTCCTTCAAGATATGCTCTGCCCAATTGTCTGCCAGCCCCAAATCAGGGCCCCTAGTCCTCAGCATGTGTGACCCCATGGATGTTTCTCACACTTTCCCACTCACCTGTGTAACCCAGGTGGCTCAAGCCTCAGAACAGACCTCACTCCTTCCTTCTCAGAGACTTCCCACAGCACACCTCCACACAGTCCAGCTGCTATCCCATCTGAGGAGAATTCCTCCACCTGAGGGCCAATCTCCTCTCTGCTGTCCTTTCTCCTGGGCTCCCCACCACCCTTCCCACAGCACCTACACAGTCTTTCTGTTTTAAATGACTCTCTCCACCCCTAATGTCAGCAGAGCTGTCTACCAACACTACTTCTACTACGAAAGTTTGTTCCCATGATTCCATCCACACCACTCTAATCAAATCTCCAACAGTTCCTGGTTCCTAAATCCAACAGCAGTAAAATTACTCATGTAATGCACATATGAACAAATGTGTCAGCTGTTCTTTATAACTTACAAGACTCTCGAGGTATACTTCAGATGTGAGAAACATGAGGCCCTCAAAGGAATTTTGTTGAAGGTCACACAGAAGGGTGAAAGTCACAACTCCAATTCAGCTGTCAAATTAAAAAAAATTCTTCCAATAATGCTAAAAATAGGTTCTATCAGGGCTGGAGAGATGGTTCAGTGGTTAAGAGCACTGGCTGTTCTTCCAGAAGACCTGGGTTCAATTCCCAGCACCCACATGGCAGTTCACAACTGTCTGTAACTTCAGCTCCAGGGGATCCAACACCTTCACACCAATACACATAAAATAAATTTAAATAAATTATTAAAAAAGTAAGTTTTTTATATCTTATATCTAAGATAAAATGAAGATGTACTAACCACCTTGGAGAAAGACTAAGCAACCAGTGATCCACACTACATCCTCTGAGAGGAAAAGAGGAAAAATCCAGTTAATCCCTCAGACCCTCCTTTCACACACAATCCTGAAGAGTCTTAAGTAGTCCATACTTAACATCTCCACGGCTCAAACTGAATCCCAACAGCAGACATCTTGAGTCAGCAGTCAGCAGAGGCAATACGTGGACTAATGCCTCCTCCTGAAGAGACGCCAGCAGCTGTTTCCCAAGTGTTTTTATTGTGGATGAAGACACAGCCAACTTAAATCATTTTTATTTGGAGGTTTTGTTTTTTTTTCTGCCTTGCAATGCTCTTGAGAAATTCAAGAGTGCACTGGCTTTAGCTCTGTAGAAAACACAACCAAATCTTATGATACACATTTGTTATTTTCCTATAAATCAAAAGACAGTGTATCAATTTTAAGTGATTAAATCACAATAAGTTAAGATGTAAAGACTGACAAATAATCACAAATGTCAACATTACAATGATCATTATTTTTCCATAGGAATATATAAAATAAATATTACCTAACTTAACCAATATTTACAGAAGATGAATTTTTGTTACTAGAAGATGCTTTAAATGCTTTGATATATGAAAATTTCTTTTAAAAACCCAGTTTAAATGCAGCACTTTCTATGGTTTTCATCTCTTTGCCTGTGCCTGGGTAAAGCTTACTCTGTAGCTGACTGGGTAAGCACTTGAATGCTCTTGAATCCTTTGGAAAGTTAAAAGAACTAAGGGCTTTTCTTGGATGATATTTGATGTTTAACTGGTTAGTTGCATGCCATCTCTTTTTGCCTCTGTGCTTTGGTTTCCCCCCTTTTAAAAAACAAACAAGAATGTCAGGAAGGGAAACTCACAGAAGTACATGCTAGTGATTACATTCAATCAACTCCAACGGCAGGGTGAATTCTTGATAGTCTATTTCGTTGTACTTGAAAACCATTAGGAATGTTCTGAAGAACTGTGGCTTCCAATGCAAAATTCAACCACCAATTCTACAAAGTGCACAGAGATATCAATAGTGCTGTAAGCCTGTGGCATCTGATGTAAAATTCAACCGCAAATTCCACAGAGTGTCGGAAGATATCAAGAGCAGACTTACTGCATCACCACACTGCAGTCAGCATACCACTGGCGGTGTCCTGTGGGTAACTCAAAGTGCATGCTTCTCACTCTCTGCTAAGAAGTTTCCTTGAGCAGATGGTTCCTCTCTGACACAACTTAGTTCAGAAAGGCTATGAGTTATGTCTGCTTTAGATCAACACACACTTAGCATGCATACAGCACAGACATTAGGTACTGCAGCTTTCAGACAAGGTCATATACTTCAATAGCAGCCATGTAATACCTTGTTCTTTGAGACCTGGGTGTGGAGTACCCCCACGACAGTTTTCAAACTTAGGCTAAGTAAAAGGGTGGGGAGGGCAGGTTGTTTCAGTCAAGGAACTTCAAATGTCATAAAAGATATTTCAAATATAAAACACATTGTTTAAATATCCACCATGTACCTCCTCTTTAAAAGAAAGCATTTTACATCTTCCCTTTTCTTCTTAGTTTAAAAACTAGTCTTTTTTAGAAAAAAAACTGCTTCATGTGGAACTTAAAATTCCCTGGCACATAGTAAATGATCCAGACTAGTGAGGGTGACTTTTTAAGGAACATATAAACCCCTGTACCAGTAGAACCTCAACTTACAATGGCTTAACTGTTCCAATTTTGGGGTTTACCAAAATGATACACATTGAGCAGAAATCATGCTTCAGATTTAAAATTTCTCTTTTCCCCAGGCTAGCTGCAGCGGGGGCCTGGTTAGCCTCGTGGTCCTGAGAGGAAGTGGCTGTGCTAAGCCAGGCCAGCTGACAACTGGGTACAGCAAATGAAGGCTTAACTCAAGATGTTAAGTACAATGGGTTGGTGGGCTGTGGCCCACTGTAAGTTGAGGGGCATCTGTAACGTTGGCAAAACTGGTGGGAGCAGCATAACATTTCTCTGATGGCAACTTTTCCTACCATGTAGCAGAGAAGGGACCCAACCATAAATAAGTTAGTTAAGGACACAGGTGGTACCAGGAAGCAGCATTATCTCAGTTACGTAATTTTTCAGAAAAGGGTATTTCAACCATCAGCACATCATTAAAACCCAAACCTCCAGTCTTTCAAAGGCATTAGAAATACACAGCTTATCATAGATAAATTCACAAACAACCCAGCTTGGCTCCAACAGGTGCCAGAACTGTTGACATTTCTGGATCAGTCTGGTTTCCACCCTTTCTTGCTATACAGGCTTTTCTGTTTTAAAGGCTTATCTAAACTTACAAAATATGCAAGAAATGACTTAAATGTACAACGTCAACAATTGATACATATATGAAGATCCTGAGACAACAAAAGCTGTGAGTCAGGATTTTTTTCTGTCATGTTAGGCTTTGTAAAAAAAAATCGGGAAATACTGGCTTTAAGTTCCAAGCCCCTGGTGCTGGTGCACTGCATGGGAAGCTACACCCTAGACAGCTGAAGCTCAGCCAGAGGCAGGTGACGGGTCTCCAGATATTGCTAACTGTGGTCTAAGGGCTATGTGGATGCAGCCGTACAATGTAACACTTACATGAGAGTTATATGATTTTGTGTATTTGTGCAAGGAAACCTTTAGGTTTTTTCATTTGGTTTTGTGGTGTGTGTATGTATGTGTGTGTGTGTGTGTGTGTGTGTGTGTGTGTGTGTGTGTGTGTGTGTGTGTTGAGTCAAGGTCTCACTATGGTTTTTGCTCTGGCTAGCCTGATACTCACTGTGTAGACCAGGCTGGCCTCAAACTCCTAAGAATCTGCCTGCATCTGCTTCCCAAGTGCTAAGACTAATCATTACACCTCAGGCCCTGCTGGAAACCTGTAGTTTTAGATGATACTTTAAAAAAGACAGTTCAGCTCTTGAAACTAAATGATACCATTTGGTTACTCACATCATGGATTCTACCATAAAAAGAAACAAACTACCCCTCCATGAAACAACTTGGATGGACCTCAAGGGAGCTATGCTACATGAAAACACCCATCTCAAGAGGTTACATTAACAGTGATTTCATTTAAACAGCATTCACAGAATTACAAAATTATACAGGGTGATAGTTAGTGGTTTTCAAGGGGTAAGGGGGCAGCAAGGTCTACAAAAAGGCAGCTCAGGGACCCTTTGATGAAGAGTTGGGTCTTAACTGTGATGGCCAGATGAATCTACACACATGATAAAATTGCATAGAACCAATACCCACTTTGCCTCAGGGCACCCCCAACCTCCAAGGAACAGCTTGTCCTCTCCCTACACGAGGTCCTCTACAGGTGGCTGACAGACACTGCAGAGCATTCACTGCTTAGGTACCTTTTTTGGGGTGGGTGGGGAGGATAAATTCGTTATCTTATAAAGATGAACCACATGCCCCTATATTAAACGAGCCTGAAAATCCGAGGAAATAAAAGCAGAGTTATTCTTGCCTCTCCTTTTTAGAGTTTTGTAAATAAAAAAGTAAACCAAATGTTTCTAGTTTTAAATGAGGTCAAATCATAAAGTGAACAAAAAGCAGATTATGTATCAGTTACTTATTCTTCTGACACCTGCGATTTCTAAAAGCATTAAGAATATTTTTATTAACAGAGAAATTACAACTACAAACAAATAATGACTCTTTCCAGAAGGCCACTTTGTGGTAAAGTTCACACATACAGTGTTCATAGTTTCCTTAAAGTGCTATAGTCTCTGGCTCAAGAGCTTCCTATTGCTTTAGAAGATCTTTCAATACGACGCCAGCGCTGTTGTCGGGCGACACTGGCAAAGGTGTAAACGTGGGGAGAACATCTGAGATGGGTTTCAAAAGAAGATGCCCGGGCCCACCGAGTCCATGTCCAGCTGGATTAATAAGGGGCACAGCCGCTGAGCGGGGAGCCAAGAATGGACTCAGATCTGTTCTTCTTCCTGCCCTGGGTTCTGCTACATCTAAAAAATAAGATACAGATGATTTGGTTTCTATCCTTCACAAAGAAGTTAAATGAAATGACCCTCTGAACACAATTATATAAAGAAACCTGTTCCAGTATTTTTTTTTTTTTTTTTTTAATCAAACTCATCAGCATGGTCTGTGGTTTGTTACTGAGACAGGGTCTTTCGTTCAGGCTGGCCATGAGAGCTGGAACTGTGCTACCATGCTCAGTTTTTACACTGGAGTAATCAATTTATCACTACTATCAATTTTAAAATTCCACCCTGATGATCATAACACTACTATTTAGCACAAGTTTTGGGCCATCCTTTATTCAAAACAAGAACACCAACAGACCCCACCCAAATCCTAAGCATAAAATGCAAACTTATGGCTCAGCAGGTAAAAGTACCTGCCACCAAGCCTCCAACCCTGATGACCTGAGTTCAACCCCAGAACCCACGTGGTAAAAGGGAATCAAACTCCCAAAAGTTGCTCTGACTTCCAAAAATATGCATGGAGTATACACATATAAACACATATACATGCAATAAACAAATAACATTTTAAGAATACCAATGTGTATTATGAAAACCTCATGAAAGTTCATTCCTAGTCATTCAAAGCATTCTCCAATAAAAAAACAATGCCACATGTGCTTTAGGCTTCCATATGTGGCTACCTATGAATTGATATGCTGTTGCTTGCTGTTCCTACAGCAGACTCTATCTATGAAAAGGAGATGGGTGGGCTGGAGATATGGCTCAGAGGTTAAGAGCACCAGCACCAACTGCTCTTCCAGAAGTCCTGAGTTCAATTCCCAGCACCCACATGGTGGCTCGCAACCATCTGTAATAAGATCTGACGCCCTCTTCTGTATACATAATAAATAAATAAATCTTTAAAAAAAAAAAAGAAAGAAAGAAAAGGAGATGGGCAAAAGTGTGGGAGGTACAGAAGTCCTTAAGCTCACAGATAAGCAGGAGAGGAACCAGGAATGCTAAACACATGCGGTCATTCCTTCAAAGAGGGGGGATGTATGACCTGTTTCTGCCCAAAGGCCAGGGATGGATGTGGATCTTGGTGACCTTTGTGCTATCTGTGTGTCCAAGACCACATGGATCCTACTCCAGACCCTTAGAATGTGCTTCTCAATCAGAACCTATCTTTATAGGAGGTACCATATACAGTCAATCTATAGAACCCATCTTTATAGGAGGTAGCACATATAGTCAATCTATAGAACCCCTCTTTATAGGAGGTACCACATATAGTCAATCTATAGAACCCATCTTTATAGGAGGTACCACATATAGTCAATCTATAGAACCCATCTTTATAGGAGGTACCACATACAGTCAATCCATAGAACCCATCCGTATGGAAGATGTCATGTGTACTTTAACTTTACAAAGAGCTTTGATGTAGTCATGTCTTAAGCTTTATTGTGCACAGGGAATGAATCATTTATCACCAGAAAAAAATTTCACTAAATTGTGCTGTGTTTATATATGGCTAAAATAAACTACTCAGGGTCAGACTCCCCAAGTTTGAACCAACACATGCTACTCAGTTGTGTTGAACCAAACTGCCTTCTTGCCTCCCACTGATCATTACTCTACAGGTCATGGTGGTCTCAGAGACCCCAGCATAAAAGAGAAGAAAAAGGAATGGTAGAAAAAGGGACAAAAGAGTGTTTGTATACACAACAATACTGATCAAAGTATTTTATTCTCAAATACTAGCTAGATAATGGAGAGCTGAACTTGCTGTCATAGTGTTGAAATAATGAATGGTGTGTATGTTGCAGGGTTACTTTCCATATCTACCTGAAAGATGAAGGACCTGAGAACTTAGGATTTCCCAGTGATTAAGATGGCTATGAAAAATGCTAGCATTCCTTATTTTTATAATGATGCAATAGTAATAAAATTAATTTGCCAGAAGAGCAAACAATATATACATACATGACTCAGTCATCTTTTTAGGCATTAAAGACTGGAGAACATTCTCAGTGGTATTATTTCTCTATCAGGTTGAGCAGTTACAATTCATTTTCATTAGAATAGGTATTTGGTTATGACCTGTCTTAGTGGCTAGAATTCTACCTTATTACTCAAGAACACTAATAAATTCATTGGTGAGAGCTAAGCGAACCCTGGGAGGTCCCTTCTTAAACAATGGGAAACTAAAAAAGTGGGTGCCTAAGACAAAGACAGAGACAAACTCATTATATGCAGCTGTCACGGAGCATTTCTGGATTCCCATGCCAGACTTCCTGTGACCAACAACTTTCTAAACTGGAAAAGCTCCTATGCTGCCTAGTAAGCTCTACACACTGCGAACACAGATGGACACTAAGCTCTACACACTGTGAACACAGGTGGACACTAAGCTCTACACACTGTGAACACAGATGGACACTAAGCTCTACACACTGTGAACACAAATGGACACTAAGCTCTACACACTGTGAACACAGATGGACACTAAGCTCTACACACTGTGAACACAGGTGGACACTAAGTTCTACACACTATGAACACAGGTGGACACTAAGCTCTACACACTGTGAACACAGGTGGACACTAAGTTCTACACACTATGAACACAGATGGACACTAAGCTCTACACACTGTGAACACAGATGGACACTAAGCTCTACACACTGTGAACACAGATGGACACTAAGTTCTACACACTGTGAACACAGATGGGCACTAAGTTCTACACACTGTGAACACAGATGGACACTAAGCGCTACACACTGTGAACACAGATGGACACTAATCTCTACACACTGTGAACACAGATGGACACTAAGCTCTACACACTGTGAACACAGATGGACACTAAGCTCTACACACTGTGAACACAGATGGACACTAAGCTCTACACACTGTGAACACAGGTAGACATTAATCTCTACACACTGTGAACACAGGTGGACACTAAGCTCTACACACTGTGAACACAGTGTAGACACAGCTCTACACAATGATGAACCCAGCATGGAGACTAAGCTCCACACACTGGTGAACACAGTATGAATTCTAAGCTTGTGTCCTCCATGCAAACCCTGCCACAACTCAGTCCACCTCTGACTGATACATACACCAAGCTGAGCTCAGCTGATGAAGGAAAGGGAGAGAAGGAAGGAAGGAAGGAAGGAAGGAAGGAAGGAAGGAAGGAAGGAAGGAAGGAAGGAAGGAAGGAAGGAAGGAGGATGGACGGGTGAGATGGTCTTTCTGTATATGAATATGTGTTCCTACCATTCTTACTATTGCTTAATAAAGAAGCTGCTTTGGCCTATGGCAAGACAGGTTATAGTCAGGCAGGAAATCCAAGCAAAGATACAGGGAGAAGGAGGGCAGAGTTGGGGAGACACTGCGAGCGAGCTGGAGGGGGGGGGGGGCGCAGCATGCAACAGAACACAGGTAAAGCCATGAGATACCTGGCAATACTTAGATTAATAGAAATGGGTTAATTGAAGATGTGATAGCTGGTTAGCAATAAGCCTGAGCCATAAACCAAACAGTCTGTAATTAATATTAAGCCTCTGAGTGATTATTTTATAAGCTGCTGTGGGGCCAGGTGGGACACAAAAAAGCTTCCCGTTACAAAAGGGAGAAAGAATGATGGGAAAGGCAGAGAAAGGAGGAGACCTTTCAATAAAGAATATGAGACTCTCTCTTAAGAAGCTACAACCTAGTACAACATGAAAAAGAAAAATGTTCTCAGTATAGTCTGTACTTCCTAGAGTGACAACTTTTACTGAATTTAGCAGCCAAACCTTTTATCTTAGTGACAAACTTTATTACTTCACCTTCATATAAAAGTTCAGAAAAACAGAAATATCTGTCTAAATAACTAAGAAAGTTATAAAAATTATAAAACAGAACTTCTTTAGTATTTTATCCAAATTTTAACTATGGTGTGTGATATAAACTATGAAGCATATGATATATGCCTTAAGTTTCTACTAAAATATGTGAGTTTAAATTGGAATATGTAAATTATAGGGGGAAAAAAAGAGAATTGACTATAGTCTAGTAGATAATTCAATTTCAACTCAAGAAATTTTACTATAAGCCAGTATCATCAATATGAAATAAACAAGACCTTTACAACTCAAAATTAGTGGGATCAAAAATATATACACATGTACCCACAAACCATTTCCTTCCACAGACATTTACTCACATAGGGTGCTTTTCCACATCCTTGGATGTTTAGGTCAGTTAACTAAACCAACCTATGTACATTATTTATGTGACAGGTTTTGTTATTGAATACAAGAAGTCCAAAGATGAAAATCATTTTCAACTATATGCATCTAACTTTGATTAGTAGTAACTACTATCAGAGAGAAATGGTGTAACAGATGACAAAGCAAAGATAGAACTAGTTGACTACCATTTCCAGGAGAGTAATTCAAAGTGGCTTATGCTGATAAACAAAGCGAATAAAATCACAAGTTCCTACCATGTCTATAAATACACTACAATATATATGATTTGGGGGTGTGTGGAAGTGACGAATAAAATATTTCTCATGAAGACAAAATAATTCTCAATGAAAACATTTTATACTATTTACATTAATTAAAGCAAATAAATAATAAGGTACTACAACATGTAAGGCTCAAATTTAGTGAGATTAGAATTTTGGAAGCAGTATTACATATTCCAAAAATGCTGAAAACCTAATGTCACTGTAAGTCTAAATCATAAGTTAAACATTTTATTTTTTACCACTGAGAGAAATCAAGTATTTAGTTTTACCTTTGGAGCTTCCGGGTATGCTGGTGTCAACTTTCCTTCTTCCTGGAGAATCCAGAGGTTTCAAGTCATGAACTGGCAGTTTTGGGGGTGGGACAGATGGATGAGATTCTGTTTCCAGAAATTTAACAAAAAGTTCTGAAAAAGACTAGGAGAAAATATTTGGTTATATTACTAGGGTTGTATTAGATGATGTAAAAAGAAATCTGATCCTATACAAATGAGCATGATATTTAACCATTTCATCATTCGGGGTCTTACACTATTAAACACAGACTGCTGACTTGGTCTCAGTGGTGTACTGGGCACACTTTTTGATCCTCCTCCAAGCCATCCAGACATCCACCGAGTAACACCTCCTTGATCTTCAGCAAACAACTGCAAGAACATTTTAAAACAGAAAATTACCAATATAAGACAAGAAAAATAAGAACCTCTCTTATGTGATGTCAAGGAATAGTAAATCATGCTTTATAATTCAAATTCTAGTAAATGTTTCCTATTACTGACAAAGGTTACAGAGAAAATAAAATGCCATCTAAGCACAATCTGAAATAAATGTTCTGGGCATGGTTATGTCTCAAAAATTTCAGCAATCTGATGTAAGAACTAGTTTATAAGTTGTAAAATATTTACATTTACACTAACACCAAAAAACTGAACAAATCTACTTCTTTGATTAAGAAAACAATATTAAATATATATATATATATATATATATATATATATATATATATATATATATATAAACTATTTTCTACCATGCCCCTGTATTATAAATGTAATTACAAGCATATTTAGTATGAGAACCAGGATGTAGCTCAGTGGTGGAGTGCTTACCTAACATGTGAAAGACATGCTAGGTTCTATCCCCAGAGAAAGAGAGAGAAAGGGGAGAGAATACCAGAGAATAAGAGAACTACAAAGAAAGAGGTGGGGAGGGCTTAGAGTGCTTTTACTGTCTAGTTACCTGCTCCATTTCCTCCCTTTTAACACCCAGGATGCTCCCCATTAGTCGTAGCACTTCATGGCGCTGATTCTTAGGTGTGTGGAAATGACCAATGAAGAGGTTTCTCATGAGGACTCTAGAAAATCAAGGCACAAACAGTTTAGGTCGATCTAACATGGCCAAACTAACACAAGCATACCCAAACACTAAACAAATAAACATTTACTTAAACAATGAGATGCTGAATTATAAAAACTGAATAGTAAGGAATTCTAAAGTGGCTTTTTAAAGAAGTCTAATTAGGAATATTTCAGATAACCCAAAATGCATACTTTTTAAAAAAATCACTTTTTAGCCAAGCAATTTTTAGACTCATAACCAACTGAGGAGGTATCTCATAAGTAATTTTCAACACCTAACTAGGTGACTCTCATCTGAGAAAGACATAAAAATGGAGATAAATGTTATATGCCCTCAGCCATATTTATTAAAAATTTTAAATAATATCTTAGATTTTAATATATTAAGTGAGATATTATTGCATGAATAACTAGGTTTCAGACCTAATACATTTAAACATACTAGATACGTTCATTTAAGAGTAGTAAAGAGGGGAAAATATGCCGGGGTGACGGTGGTGCTGGCTCCCAGTACTTGGGAGCAGAGGCAGTCGGATCTCTGTGAATTCGAGCCAGCCTGGTCTACAGAGTGAGTTCCAGGACAGCCAGAGCTGCACAGAGAAATCCTGCCTCAAAAAACCAAAAAAAAAAGGGGGGGGGGAGAAATATTAAAAATAAACCTTTTATTTTCTAAGTATTTCATAAAGGAGTGATTTTTTTTTTTCTTTCCTAGACAGGGTTTCTCTGTGTAGCCTTAGCTGTCCTGGAACTTCGATCTGTAGACCAGGCTGGCCTTAAATTCACACCTGCCTCTGCTGGGATTAAAGGTGTGTGCCACCACCCTGCAAGAATGATTTTTCTTTTAACTCTTGCATATGGTTTTGACAAAAGCAATGAGTTGGGAGAAACAGACTTTAAAAATAAAAGAAGGGCTGGGCGGTGGTGGCTCACACCTTTAATCCCAGCACTCAAGAGGCAGAGTCAGGCAGATCTCTGTGAGTTCGAGGCCAGCCTGGTCTACAGAGCGAGATCCAGGAAAGGCGCAAAGCTACACAGAGAAACCCTGTCTCGAAAAACCAAAAAAAATAAAATAAAATAAAAAAATAAAAGAAGGTAAGTCACTTTACTGACTGCCATGAAAACTACCTACACCTCACTATATCAGAAAAGCAAACTGCTTCTTGAAAATGTGGTCACGTGTAAACATCTGCTGTAGCTCTGCTGTTCTCTGAAAGCAATTCCTATGACTCAGGAGGAAGTCAAGAGGCAAAGCTTACTTGTCCACTTTTCCTTCTGTGCTGCTCACTAAGTTCATCAGCTTCTTCTGCGCATCATCCAGCATCTCTTGGTGGAGCTCATCTGTTTTAAAGTAAGTGGATAAAGACAGCATTAGCCAACCAGGTTAGATAAACATGCAGCAAGACCTACTTAGAAATGTGAATACGTGCCCTATTCTACTGGGGAATGGTCGATTGCTGTCATCTTTTCTTTGGCTCTGGGAACCTGGACAGAAATTACCTAGAAGACAGGGGATGCAGTATTCCACAGTGTTTGCCCTCAGTAAAATGGTCAGTCAGCTCCTTAACAGAAATGTAATAATCCCAACAGGTTTCCATCCACGTAGAAACATACAAGCAAAGAGCAAACTGTCTCCAGTGCTTTCTTGCAGGACGTATTTCCAGAGCAACTCTCACTTAACGAGAGGAAACGGAAAGGATAACTTTAGGTTTTCCCCATTCTGTTTTCCTGGCTGGGCTCTGGTGTTGGTGAGCCAAGAGTATCTAACCAACTAACACTGGCTTAGGACACTGACAGGGCAAAGACAGTGAAAGCATGGGCACTAACATGCTAATCATGATACAATGCTGTTGGCTGATTTAAAAGGATGTTTAGATTATTTCTAAATTTGTACTTTAAAAAATAAGCAAAATCTGTAAAATGGTTGGAATCTAGGCAATTTTTAAAGGCAAACTTTAAAATTAAATCAGATGTCCTGTGCACATGCTAATCATGCCAAAGGATCAAGAGCTCTGGACTAGAGACCTCTCCATCCAACAGTCTACACCTTTTACTTAGAAGCAGGCAGTAGAACTCAAAGAGGTGCTTAGTGACTTTAAGGAAAAACACATGTTTTCATCCCAGAAGAAAGCAAGAGGAGACTGCATGTAAGGTCCCAATAAGGGACGACACACACCTCCTCCTTCCCTGACGGGGGATGGCTAGATGAGTCCCCTTACCAGGCACCAGGCCTTGCAATTATCTTTCCCATTTTATGTGTCATTTCTCTTTCCCGTTACCTTTTGAAACAATAGTTTTACATTTCTTTTTGTTGTTTTTGCCCAGTACTGTGAAGATTTGCTTCTACATCTTCTAAGAGTTTTAATGGTTTTGAATATAAATATAAAATAGAAAAATAGAAAAGGGCCATGATCCTTATCAAGTTCATTTTTGTGTGTGGTATGAGACAGGTGTTCATGAGAAAGCAGTTGCTCCAGCATTACATGGTAAAACCTTGTTCTTTTGGTACTGTTTTGAAAAATCAATTGACCATCAACTTCTGGTGTGTTTTCCTTCTCTTGCTTCCCACAGAATTCTGCTTTTTCCTCCCTCTGATGAAGAGCTCTTATTGATAGGACTGCCTACTCTACTGACTCATAAGCATTCTTCATCCTGAAGTTCCTAACTTACTTCCTCTCATGACTTTCCTCCAAGACACATTAGGTCTCCTGTGTCTCCATTCTGTCCTGTACAATGACTAGAATGCTGACTTACAGTACTGAATACAAATATAAAGGTTTGTATGTGAAAGGTTTGCAATGGCTTGTGCTTCTCTAAATTGCAAATTTCTGAATTACAAAATGCCACTCACATAATAGACTAACTTTACCAAAATAGAGATGGTTGCCATAACCATATTATAAAAGCCAAGGTTTGTGTTTGGAAGATTTCCTATAAACTTTTCCTTTCCCGTCTTTCCAGCAAGGAATTTCAACTGAATATAAAAGGCAGGGGAGGGGGTCTATTACTGAAATCTGACTCAGTAGAAGATGTTTTCTCTTAGACTCTTCAAGTACTTTACACTGTGGGCATGTGCCGCTTTCCCTAGCATTACATTCTAGATGTGGCAGAGCTCTTGGCCACAGGAAAAACATCAACTCAACAAGCTGAAGCAGGAGCCACTGTACAGCCCTCCCCTCCTCCAGGACGACAGACTAGCAGCCTAGGAACAGCCCAAACTTCCCCACTCTCTGCACATGTGCTGTGCATTCATGTAGAGGCTGAGCATGGCAGGTGTCACTCTCTGCCTGGTGTCCCTCGAGACAGGGTCTCTCAATGAGCTAGGAGGCCTTGTGACCTGCAGCCCCCCAGTGCTGGCCTATGGGAACAAGTGCAACCATAAGGCCTTGTTACCTGGGTTCTGGAATCCAAATGCAGGTCTTTAAACTTGCCAGCAAGCCCTCTTACCTGTGAGCCACTTCTCTAGCCCTGCTGCCTTCTCTTTCTAAAATGTATCTATTACTATTAATTTTATACTGATTACATTTAAAAATGATAATAATTTGGGGACATGTGATGTAAAATAAATTATAAAAATTAATTTCATGGGGCTCAGTAGTTAAGAGCACTTGCTGTTTTTGCAGAGGAGTTGGGTTATTTCCCAGAGTCCACATGGTGTCTTAAAACCACGTGGACTCTAGGTCCAGGGGATCTGATGCTCTCACAGACATGTACTCACATGGTGCACATAAACCCATGCAGATACACACACAGAAAAATATTAACAATATTATTAAGATTTTGCCTCTATTTTAAGTGTGTATTTTACCTGCATGCATGTCTGTGTACCACATACATGTAGTACTTGAGGAGGCCAGAAGAAGGCATCAGACCGCCTGGGACTGGAGTTAAGAGATGATTGTGAGCTTCCATGTGGGTGCTGGGAATCAAACTCAGGTCCTCTAGAAGAGCAAATGCTGAGCCATCTCTCCAGCTCCAATAAGTAATCTTAAAATAACTTATTTTTTATTTATTTATTTATTTTACTGTTTCAATGTAGCCATTAAAAACAAACAAACAAAAAATTACATTAGGCATAGTAGTACACTTTTGCAGCCCCAAGAACTCAGGAACCTGGGGCAAAAGGATTCCTAATTTGAGGCCACCCTGAGCTACACACAGTGAAGCCAACCTACACTTTCTCAAAAGAGAGAGACAGAAAGACGGAAGAGGGAGAGAATTACATGTATTGGATAGTATGTTCTTACCACATAACTCATATCTAAAGCTATATTACACTGTCTCCCTTTAAACAAACAAGAACAGCAGGTAAGCCTCTGAGCCAAGAGATGGCCAGCAGGTCAAAGTGCTGCTCTGTAAGTCACGGCCTGAGTTTTATCTCTGGAATCCACATAAAGGTGGAAGGAGAGAACCAACTCCACAAAACTGATTTCAGACCTCCATATGCTCCATGGCAGGCCTGTGTACACCCAGCGCACATCATATGTACACATAACAACAACAAATAAAACATTGCTTTTCTTTTAATAAGTTGGGCATTGTGGTATGTACCTGTAGTCCCAGATGCTAAGAAGGCCAAAGCAGGAGGATCAGTTGAGTCTGAGAGTTTGGAGCCAGCTTGGGCAACATAGTGAGACCTTATCTCAAAGAATCCCAAGCAAACGAAAGGCCTGCATGATGAATAAATATCTTCAGAGTAAAACTTACAAAGCAAAGATTCTAATAAAAAGTTACTTGAATAAAGTAAGTCAGAAAGTCAAAGCATCGTTTAGGTTAAAGTGACGAGATTAAATTGTCTTAAAACTTTAGTCCGTGACCTAATGCAATATGGGATGCGCAAGCAAGGCTATCTCAAACTCACATGCTTAAATGTACCATGATATCTGAGTAGAGAAAGGAAAAGGAAAGAACCTCAGAACTTAAGGACAGCACGGGAAGGAATGTGTTAATTTTGAGAGGTTAGAAGAAAAGGAAGTCACACACCCATCCAAAGTCCCTAAAGACTCATCTTTTTCTCCAGCAACACTTGCTCTCCTCCCGTCAGAAATTCTGAATATTTCTCTATGAACACTGGACTCAAACCACAATTTAAAATCAGAACTATATTTATATGGGCAGGCAAAATATTATTATTCAGAAATGGGTTCTAGTCCAAATACAATAGTCCTGTGAATAATCACACACACCCAAATAACTCTGTAGAAACACAAGCTGAGGCTGGAAAGCATTTTCAAGTTGAGCAATGAATCAGCTGAGATGGAGTCTAGTCTAGAGAAAGCATGACTCTGAGTGTGTGACACAGTAAATCTTCCACAGCAGAGCTCTGAAACTCCCAGAGATGACGCCATGGTCTTAGAATCAAAATCGAATGTGGAAGAGTGAGTGCATCATAACTTTACATTTTACTTGTGATTGATGACAGTGTATCATATTCAGAGAACATCTTAAAGTGTATCATACTTCTTATATTCCTCTGGTTATCGCATGACTAAGTGCCTGTGAGCAGGTTCACTGAATAGTCAGCTGAATGAGATAACTGTGAAGACCAGAATGAGAACCCAGAAACCCTAGAGATGAACCATGCTCAGGGCCAGGCATGGTTTGCCTCTTTTAAAATGACTGTGCTTCATGCAAAGGATTTTGAGAGAATGGAATAAACGACCAAAAGCTGACTTTCTAAATAGTAAAGTGCTATATAAAATGGAAATATTCTTTCATTTCATTTCTTTTCTTTCTTCCTTTTTTGCTACACAGCTCTGGCTGAACTGGAACTCACTCTGTAGACCAGGTTAGTCTCAAACTCACAGAGATCCACCAGCCTCTGCCTCCTGGGTGCCTGTCTGCCTCCTGGGTGCTAGGATTAAAGGCATGCACCACCACACCCAGCTTTCATCTGATTTCTTAAAATAACAAATTCATTGTTAAATTTTGCTCTAATCAACAGCAATCACATATATCACTTTGGTTGATACTGATACTTTGTAATTTTTTCCCTTATTTTGCATTTTTCTCATTTTTAAGAGCCAAGGCAAAGGAGAAAACAGGAGAAAGAGAAAAATGTTTGAAAGACAATTTCACCAGTCTGTATAAATGTCAGTAAGTAAATGAGGTATGAGATACTATTTGCTTGGCAACCTTAACTGTAGGCAGAAGTTTCTCTCCAACTTTGCCTGTTCCCAAATACCCAGCAGCTACTTCTTAAATAATTGACTCTGAGGCTTAATATTATTTATAAATGCTCAGCTGGTAGCTCAGGCTTATTACTAACTAGCTCTTACACTTAAATTAACCCATAATTCTTATCTATGTTTAGCCATGTGGCTTGGTACCTTTTCTCAAAA